CCCCAAAACCCCAAAACCCCAAAACCCCATACTAAAACTATAAAATAGATATAAGAGAATTGAAAAATTGTTTGATATGCTGTTAATTTAAATATGAGTTTAATAATATAAGTTGAATTATTATAATGAGACCTACGAACCTGCAGTTTAGATCTCCTAAAGAAAGAACTGAATTTACTAATTAGTATATCAGAACTTAGAAAGGCCATAAACTTTTTAATCAAGCTTTAATTGAAAATCCAAGCTCTAGTCCAACCAATTATAAGCCAACACAATGAAGTAGTGCTTTTCCATAAGGTGAGAGATTTAAGTTGTACAAATAACTAGAGAAATAAACGGGTATTTTTCTTGGTCCTGGAACATATGACGATCAATAGTCATTTTAAAATCTGACTAAGAGTCCATGTAATGCTTTAATCAAAGATATGCATCAGTACAAAAGCCCAAAGGAAAAAATTGAATACTATTATATTGGAGACAATTTAGTGTGAGATCCAAATGGTGTTAAGTTTTTAGGAAGAAAAGTAGGGAAGCTATTTAGAGAAGAATAAACTAACATTGAAGATATCTATCAATCAGCTTAGCACATGAATGCAGGACCTTTTACAGCTGATGCTATGAACTCTCCCATGTCGACTTAGAACTATTCTGGCGATTTTAACGACAGGCAATAAAACTATTAGAAAAGGCAAAATGAAATCAATAGCAGTAACAATGAAGCTCAATCAAGACTTAACTATAGTAATTCTAATTAAAACAATATAACTGATAAGTAAAGTCCTAATGGTGCATCTGGTAATGGAGGGAATAAAATGAGAACATCAATGAATTTCTTTAGGAAAAGGAATTAATCCCGTCAAAACCTTAGCAAGACTCAAATGAGTTTCTTCGTTAGCTCTAATTGTAATGACATGAGTAAGTCAGAGTTAGAATTGAGAAGTCGATATAATCTCATAGGAATCATGAATAAGAAAGGTGATAGAAAGAGTAGAAAGGGAAATTCTGATACTTAGTTGGATGATGCGATAGTTTAGAGTTCATTTTAAGGAAGAAATCCTCATATACTAGAAATTTCCCCAAATCGAGTAAGATTTTTAAAATTAAAATTCACATTATAGGATATAAAATCTTAATAATAAAGTACAACATTCCATATGATTCCAGAGCAAAACAATAATTTGATTGGATCTGCTAATTCTGGAACAGCCACACCATAAGGACGAAAAAAGTAGAAAAATTTAGTACGAAAGTTTATGAGAGCAAGTTCCACCAATAATTCTTACTTGGCTGATCCCAGTAATTAATCAACTAAAGCTACAACATAAAATGGAATTGGGTCATTATAACACAACTTAAACCCACAATAGATAGACAGCAAAGATGGGCTCAGTTAAGTCCAAGGGCATCCCTAATCTTAATAACAATTCTATACACCACAAACAAAGCTAGACAATTATATTAAACCTAATTTGGGCAGTTATTTCGATTTTATCAACAAAGCATCTAGTGATAACAATAACTTAGGTGAAATATAAAATAATAAAATTAAGAAGAGAAGGAAAATGACTTTGGGTATTAACCCCACAAGAAACCCATACATTTGCAATTCAGATTTTATGGCTACCCCTAAAAAATCTAAGCACAAAAATCTTAAGAAAATTTTTGTTAATAGCATAGTTGAACAATAGAGGCAAGAAATTAATAGGAGTAATTATATAAATGCAATGAGTGAGGAGGTGAAAAAGCTGCTAGAAGCTGCAAAGAAAAATAACTTTAACAGAAAAGGCTCTGCTGATTCTCCCATTTCCCCTTCTAGAGCACAAAAAAGAGGTTTGAAGCTTCTAGCGGCAACTAGAATTATGGAAATGAAAAATAAAAAAGTAAAATCTAAAGGCTCAAATTAGGACTGTGGTAGTACTGAGAGGGAGATAAGAGATATCACAGTATTTGATAAATGATTCAGCAAAGGCTTAGGTATTAATCATTCGAAAGGAACTAAATATTAATAATCGTTATTTTATGTTGATTCTAAAAAAAATTATAAAACTACTCACCAAGGGGTTTTGGGGTTTTGGGGCATTTGAAT